TGTTATAGTGCATGTATAGTTGCTGTGTTCTCCACATGTATCATCTCATGGTTAATTATCGTAAGTAAATATCAACTCTGTTGTCCTCTCCATGAAGGAAAATGCCCGTGAGCTATAATTACAGCAGCTTACATATCAATTACATGACCTTTCTACAGTTAAAAGGGGAAAAAGGCAACTATGACCCTTGATATTTTTATCGATCACCGTTGCTTTGGTAATAAATAATGCTGCAACACAATGCTTTATTTCTCATTTCCATCACCTTGTAACTGCAGTTGGCAGTGGTGCTGTGTCATCTTCATCTCCAGACCAGGTTGAAGAGCAGCCCCCATATGGGATGTGCCACACTTATGGCCGAGAGGAATGCCGGGACGGGATCCTAGCGTAGCTCTTACAGCTTCTATTCAGATGTGGCATGTGTTGCAACTGTTGCAGTTCATTGGCCAGAGCAAGTCACATGGCCAGTGGGGGTGGGACATGTGAGCACTCTCCTACCACATGGGCACCAGAAGGCACGTGGCAAGGGCAAGGCAGTATGATTCTCTGTAGGAGGGGTAGAAAATAAGAATACAGTCTCTGCCCTATGAGTATTCCATTATTTGTTTGAAGGTACATATGTAAGTTTCAATAAAAATAAACAACAATTTAGAGGAAAGCATTTGTCAGCAAATGAGAGTTTTGAGCTTAATGACTTTCAGGGTCCTTAGATGTAATGTTCTGTGATTCGTATTTGGAATACATGGAAAACTATACCATTTTATNGTTGGAATTTGGGCTGAGATTCAAACCTTAATCTCTGTTCTCCTAATCCAGCTTCTTTATATAGTTCAGTGAGATGTAGCTTTCTACAGTTTTATGGTTATGTCTCTTGAACTTCATCTACAGTAATCACATATATTCCCAAATAAACATATATATATGTAATCATAGTTTTACATTTCTTATTTCTTTGTTTTTTTTTTACATTTTGCCTTTTTTCATGACCGGTAACGGGATCGCAACCCTCGGTGTCGTGCCCATCCCTCACCGCGCTCAACCAGTGAGCGGACCAGTCTCTATGTGGGATCCGAACCCTTGGCGGGAGCGCTTCCACGCTCCCAAGCGCCGCTGCGCTCCCAAGCGCCGCCGCACTCTACCGAGTGCGCCACTGGGCCGGCCCTACATTTCTTATTTCTTTGAATCTAGTGTAACACTAATTCCTAATTGGTACTTAAAATTTTCTTCGTTTGGGCCGGCCCGGTGGCGCACTGGAGAGTGTGCCGGCTCCCGCCGAGGGTTCAGATCCCATGTGGAGACCGGTTCCCGCTCACTGGCTGAGTGCGG